CGCGATGCTACCGACGCAGCGACTCACTAAGCTGGGTCGAAACAGTTGCTGCTTACAAGTGACGTCCACGAAGCAACGCGAGTTGGTCCATCTCCGACACCGTCGGCACAAATTTGACCACCTCGTCAATCTTGGCCCTGACCTCCGGAGTGATCTTGTCGACAAAGTCCAGCGCCTTCAGATTCTCCTCCAACTGCGAGGGGCGACTAGCGCCTATCAGAACAGTCGACGCGTGTTCATTGGCCACAGCCCAGGCCATGGACATCTGAGCGAGCGAGCAGCCGAGCTCCTTGGCAATCGGTTTCAACTTGTCCGCCATCTCCACACGCTCCGCGAAACCCGCCGCAAAGGGACTGTCCTCTTTAAACATGGGAGAAGTATAGCGCGATCCTTCGGGTTTGCCGTCACTGTACTTCCCTGTCAGCGTGCCAAACGCCAGAGGAGACCACGTCGTGAGTCCCAGCTTGTACTTTTTGTACAAGTCCAGGTACTCGAACTCCACTTTGCTCCGTACAAAGATGTTGTATTGCGCTTGCTCCACAATGGGACGGATCAGGCCCAAACGGTCCGCAATCTCGCAAGCTTCACGGATATCCGATGCCAGCCACTCACTGGTGCCCCAATAGAAGGCCCAGCCCTGGTTGATGACAAAGTTCATGGCTCGCACAGTCTCTTCAATGGGCGTGTAGGGCTCTGGGCGGTGCGAGAAAATGACGTCCACGTAGTCGAGATCGAGGCGTTTAAGGGAAGCCTTGATCCCCTCAACGATGTGCTTGCGGCTGTTGCCCTGGTCATTGGGGCCGCCATCCGTGAATCCCTTGGATCCGTTGAAGATTTTGGTGGAGATGACGAGGTCCTCGCGACTCCAGAGTCCTTCGGATATGCCCTTCTTGATGGCACCACCAAGAAGCTCCTCGGCTTGGCCGTTGCCATAAATCTCGGCCGTATCGTACAAGTTGACGCCGTGCTGGTACGCGATCTTGACCATCTCATACCATCCGTCGACCGTGTACTTTTCGTCGTAGCCCATCCAGGAGCCGAGCGACAGCTTGGAGACCAGGAGGCCAGAGTCACCCAAGAAACGGTGCGTCATTTTGGTGGGAGTGGAGCTGGTGGCCATTGTTGGCTTGGTAGGGAGGGGTGGCTGCTTGTGGCTGACGTGGCAAATGCAAAAGTGAGCTCCTCGGTGATCTGGTTGAAGATACCTTGACAGACTGTGCATATTTAGTGGAAAAACACTTGCTAAACTAAGAACCTTATATATGCTGGTTTTGGCGTCTTTCCAGCGTAATCATTGAAGCTTATGTGTTCGTTGTCTTCCGAGAATGAATGCTGTTGATGGGGGTTGAATTGACACCTGATTGGCCGGGATGGCATTCAGACGAAAAAAAGCCATTAACATTTTAATGGGTTTTTTCGTTTGAATGCCATCCAAGCATATATTATTACAGCCCAAAATTGGACTATTTTGGGTTGGGTTCCGAATAACCCAAATAATAGCTGATTGGAAAATTGGACTATTTTGAAGTAAGGTAAAGTAATCACATATTAGTATCAGTTTTCCGTCCTGCACAAATAATTTGTAATTTACTATTGGCTCCGAAGTCTGTTAGTATTGCGACAAGTTAGATATCGTATCGCTTCCTTGGCTTGCTACATCACTTGGTTCGTAGATATTAATAACGTTACAAT